GGGGGGGCTGGAGAGAGGGGGGGGCCCGTTGCGGGGGGGCGGGGCTCCCTGCACCCCCCCCCCCGGGGATGGGAGCCGCACTCCGGCCGTGTTCGCCGGGCTTGGGTCCGGCCCAGAGCCCCTTGGCGGCCGGAGCCGAGCCGCGCCACGGGGGCCAGGCTGGAGCTGCGCTGCGGGGGCCAGGCCGGAGGGGCCGGAGCCACGCTGCGGGTTGGGCCGGAGCCGCGCCGCAGGCCAGCGCACTTGGCCAGAACCGGGGCCGGACTAGGCCGTGCCTCCCTGGAGCCCTCCTCGCGCCCCCCACCACCCCGGGTTATCTAGTGCTGCCTGCCCGCCCCTGCTTCTTTTCAGACTTCCCACGAACCTCTGATTCGCCGGAAGCAGGGGCGGGGGAGGAGCAGGGGGCGGAGCGAGCAGGGGAGGGGAGGAGGGGGAAGGGAGCTGGGGGCGGGGTGGAGAGCTGCGGCACGGGGCCCTCTTGGCGCGGGGCCCAATTCAGCCGAATCGGCTGAATCGGCCTAAAGCCGGCCCTGAAGCCCAGGAGAGCACAACTCACACAAAGCAACGAGAAACAAGGGGGGGCGAGGTAATATCTTTGACTGGACCAACTTCTGGTACAAGTTTTCGTGCAACTCTGAGCTCTTCTTCAGCTCTGGGGAAGGAGACAGACAAATTGGCACAGATTGTTAAGCAGAAGGGGTCATGCGTGGTGGAGGCGGTCACTGGAAATGAGTGTAATGCATAAAGGGTTTGAGGTGGGCAACATGGTGTGTTACGAACTGTTGTAAGGAGCCATAAAACCAGTGTCCCTGGTAAGTCCATGGCTTTTGGTGTCTAGCAGACTCGCCTGTTGAAGGCGTTGTGCCGTTTGCCTTTGAGGACAAGTATGGAAAGGTCAGATATGGAGCGATCGCTTTGAGAAAAGCGTTCCCACACGGGTGATACGGTGTTTTTGCCTTTGATCATTTTTCCGTGTGAGTTCATTGGCAAAAACGAGCAAGACACGTATAAAACAGCCTAAAAGCAGACGCTCAATAGTATAGTCAGTTGCTTGCCCGCGCTTTGGCTCGTTATGAAGTATATTCAAGAGACCAAACAATCAAGATCAGTCAGGTTTATTGCTAAAAGCCAGTGATCACATAGTAGAGGAAGAAAGGTTCAACAATGGACCAGTTTCTGGGCAGCCACATAGTACAGCACCGGGAGGCCCTATCCCATCGCTAGTGGAAATCAACCTCCCCGAGATGGGTAGCGCGAAGTCAACGGAAGAATTATTCCACCAACCGAGCTCTCCACACTGGGTGTTAGGTCACCTTAACTACATTGCTCAGGGGGTGGATTATTCACCCATGTAGGTGGGTCAGTCTGATTTTCTAGTGTAGATCAGCCCTTAATCTGGTGCAAGGTGGCTCTGTCCCCGAGAAAGCTCCCCCCAGGTGTCCCTTTCTAAACTCCTGCTTCTTTTGTTCTGCCTTTTGGTAACTTTCCATGACTTCCAAGCCTCCCTCACCTTGGACAAGAGCAGAAAGCGGCATCTCCCAGGCAGAGGAAACTCATTGTCCCACGGTGTTTAACGTAATCTTGCATGCTGGTCCGTCCCCATTGTATCTGGCCTGGCAGAGACATGCCGACCCTGCTACCTCCTGGGGCATCCACACACACGTAGGCATTCCATGACCCAGTCATGTCGTGGTACTGTGACATACAATCATCCAAAATTCAGAAGTGATACAGCCTGAGCCCTTCCAAGGAGAAACTGAGGCACGGGGAAGGGAGTTGTCCAAGGTCCCAGGATGAAGCAGGGAAGAGAACTCACATCTGCTGTGCTCCAGCCCCCCCTCCCCAGGGATTCAGAACAACTCCTAGCCCCCAGAAAGAGCTGTGCGACGGGGAGCATCACCAAGAGAACACAGCTTGGGGTGACTGTCCCACGGGCGATCTGGAGGAGGCAGGGCCTGGTCCCGCTGGTCAGCCCGTGGCTCAGGAAGGGCGTGAGCCGGCGGTCGAGCCAGGCTCTAGCAGAGCCAAGGCTTTTCGCAGATCCAGTAGTCGGTCATGTAGCAGTTTATGTCGTTCCAGCGCCCATCGAGCGTCATGGTGCCGCAGTCCTCGTCGCCGGAGTCATTGGGCTCCCCGCTGCTCCAGAAGCTGTGAAGAAGAGCAAAGCCCCATGGAGAGCACAGCGGGGAGCAAGGGGTGGTGCAGGGGGGCATGGAGCCTTTCACCCCACGTACCTGAGTTTCAGAGGGGAGCCATCCACCCAGAGCCATTGATTTTCCACTTTCTTGTCACTCAGCCCCAGCCAGTACGCCCGGGACTTTGGGCGGTTCTTCACCAAGAACACCTGCAATAGACAAGAACAGAGTAAGGGGGTGAATGAGTGGGGGATAGGCCACATGTTTTGCCAATGCCAGGAAGGATGGCCTGGTGGGCAAGGTGCTGGCCTGGGACTCAGGAGACACAGGTTCAAGTCCCAGCTCTGCTATTGACTCCCTGCATGGCCCTGGTCAAGTCCCTGCATCTCTCTATGCCTCAGTTCCCCCAACTGAATAATAGCTCTGCCCCTGAGGGTGCTAGCAGGATAGCAACATTGAAGAGTGTGATATGCTGGGGGGGGACCTTAAATGCCATAGATGTATCCCCACCTCAAATCCAGCAGGAACTGAGGGCTGTTCCTGGCTGGTGGGTAGAATGAGTGGGTGTGGTCTCAGTCCAGCTCTCAATCCAAGCAATAGGAGGCCTGAAGGAGGGGTGTGGGGCCTGAGCTCCTGGGGAGGAAGGGATGGATGCAGGGAGGAAACATGAACTGGCGTTGGGGGAAGATACAGGGGTTCAGGGCAGAGCCACTGAAGGTTTGTCTGGCTGATCGCTTGAAAACATCCCGGCAATGCCCCTCCCAACAGAACTGGCAAAAACTCCATGGGGAGTCCAGCCTGTTCTTACAACCCTCCAGTTCAAACCCTGCCCCCGCTTGTATTTTCCGGTTCTCGCAGGTTTTTGCCGCGCTATTTCGGCTTTTGTTCAGGCATGCTCAGGCATCAATATTCCTCTGCTGGGAATATTAACCCGGGGTGGCCTCAGCGCTCACGGTGGGTTGATTAACACGCGGCACGTTGCGTGTGCTGGTTTGCAGAGTGCCAGGCTCCCTTTGAGACCCAAGCCCGCATGTGGTTTTGGAAAAACCTGGTGACTCTTAAAAGAGCCGTGTTTTAAGAGCCAGGCCCAGTCGGTCTCACCTGCTCCCTGGTCCCCTGGGTCCCACCCGCTAGGAATTCCCAGGGTAAACCTGCAGCTGTTGCTGGGTAGCTGTGCGATTCCCTGGCCTGGTCGGGGTACACCAGGAGGGTGGCAGGAGGCTTTACCTGCTCCTCTTTGGTGTTAATGATCACCAGCTGTGCCCCATAATCCAAACAGAACTGCTTGGCCTCACGCCAGATTTTGGTAGACTCTGAAAAGTAGTAACAGGTTCTCTGGAACCAGGCCCAGCCCCATGGGCAATGGCCGCAGACAGAATCTAGGAAGCAAAACCCAGAATAACCCAGTTCAGGGCCAGGCAGGGAATCTGGCAGAGCCAAGAAAAGGACCCAGGAGTCCTGACTCCCAGCCCCCTGTTCTAACCCCATTCCCCTCCAGGGCCTAGGGACCCGAGTGCAGCCCCAGCCGCGGCGCCAAAGCAATAGCCATACGGCTCTTTTTAGCATGCCAGAGCGAGCCCTGCTAGCCCCGCTCTGTCGACCCGGGTGCGAGGCTCCCTCCCAGGACGAGTGTAGACATATGGAGACAGATCCACAGGGGATGGCTGTAGCCAGCAGCCTCGGTGGGCCTGGGGTTGGCTCAAAGAATCCCCCACCCGCAGGTCCCACTGAGAACAACAGAGAATCCCGCAATGGGAGCTGCCATGTGCTGAGAGCTCCCTTGAGCATCTGGCCCTGCGGGCCAGTGTCTGCTGCCACCTCCCTCTGATTGCAGCCCTAGCGTGGGCCCGGCAGCTGGCACTGTGCTCCTCACCTACTGTTTTCTGTAACGCCGTGATCTGCTCTTGCATTTTACTGTGAGACTCCTTCACAGCGGCCAGCTCCCCAGACACCGAAAGATGGACAGCGTCTGGATTGGTGGAGGAAAGGAGGTTAGCAGCCAAAGTGCAGCATGGTCATCTCAGAGCTTCCTACACGGTCCCCAACATTGGGCCAATTACAGACGCCACGGGCCCTGCTCGAAGTCTCTGCAATGCCTGGAACCTGGGCCCCTGGCGACAGTCAGAGCAGCCTCCGGGCTGCTCTAACTCACTCTCTGCCTCCTCTGGGAAGCAGGGAATACCCATGGTGCAGCGCGCTCCAGCCAAGCCCCTGATCCGTCCCTTACACCAGGGGCTGGAAGCCAGGAGGGGGCAGGGCTCTGATGCCAGCTCCACACTAACCTGGGATTCCCCCCTGCCTAGGGCAGGGGCAATTTCCACCCCCTTCACACCACCAGTGTGGCCCGGTGTGACACAGGATCGGTCCCTTTAGGTAGGGTTACCATCCGTTCATATTTCCCCAGACATGTCCGGCTTTTGCGTCTCTAAATAGCCGTCCGAGAGGAATTGGTAACAAGGTTAAAATGTCCAGGGGTTTTTTCTCCCTCGCCTCCCTCCCACCCTTCCATGCAGAGTGCGGCTGCTGATTGGGCGGCTGGGCCGATTGACCTGCTCCCATTGGCCTCCAGCAGCCAGAGCCCTCCCCTGCTCCCCCCTCCCTCTGCCTGCAGCCCTGTGTAACACACAAACCGACCCACCGGGCAGCGTGTTTGGCAAACACGTGGAGCCAGAATGGTAAGGGGAGTCCGGGGGGGCAGTCAGGGAGCGGGGGAGTGTTGAATGGGTCCCCAGCCTTCACCTGCCACCCCCCCTCTGCGTGTTGTCTCCCCCCGTGGACTCCCCCTCTCTGCCTGCCTCTCCCTTGTCTGCTTGTACTGCCAGAGCCAGCAGCAACTGCTGTCTGCTGCCCCCGGGTCCTAGCGTCCCCCATCCACTAATGGGAAGACAGGCTGCCCTTACCCTGCCCTTCCACCCTAGCCCTGAGCCTTTCCAACGCCTCAAGCCCCTCAGCCCCAGCCCTCATCCCCCCACACACTAATCCTCTGCTCCATCCCTGAGCCCCCTCCAGCATCATGAACCCCCATCCTCAGACCCACAGCCCTCACCCCTGCATCCCCTCCTATCCCCAAACTCCCTCCCAAACCCCCTCCCCTCTTCCCACACACCCCCTCCTGCCCTCAAACTCCCTCCCAAAGCCTGCACCCCTTCCCTTTGCACCTCCTCCCACCCCCAAACTCCATCCCAGAGCCTGCACCCCTCACCCCCTCCTGCACACCCACCCCCTGCCCCAGCCC